GCGGGGACTCGCACCGGCGCCGACAACATCGCATTTCAATGGTTTGTTTATGGGCGACGGCGAGCTTTTTGCCCACACCCCCATCGCGCATGCGCGGCGCCGGTGGCGTCCGCTAGGGGCGCTCCGGGCGCTCCGGTTTGTTTGTAAACATGAGTTGGTGTATATACTCTAGAGTACACCCCCCCCCCCCCCCCCCCAAAAAAAAAAAAAATGACCGTGCGTCTACTTTCCCGCACAACACTCGGAAAGCCAATCACCGCAATTGACAGGGGCAGCTCAGCGAATGACGATACTGAAGCATACGTTTAGGGAACTTTAGACCAAAAAACGCAGTCTGAGTTCTGGCATTAAGGAATGCAAGCGTGGCGTTTTGCATTGCTTAATGTCGCAACTCAGACTGCGTATCTTAGTCTAAACATATGCTTCGGCATTATCATTCGCTGAGCTGCCTCCGTAAGTTGCGCTGAATGGATTTCCGAGAGTCAAGCGGGAAAGCAGACGCACGGGCTTTTTTTAGAGTGTAGCCGCAATAAAGCAGCACGTGGAGTCAAGACTCTTCCATGTTAAATCCAATAATCCCCTTTAGCGAAATATCTTCCAGGCCCACACACTGCTGAGTGTAGCTGCAACAGTTGCGACTTACGCACTAGTCGCCGCGGGCATTTTTCTGTGCATTATATCTCGAAGGAACAGTACCAATGAGCCACCTAATACCCCAGCAGCGCTTATAATTTGGTCGCACGTCAGGCCCAGGACCATCAAGACCACACGGGATATACAAGTAGGTATCCCATCTCAAATCGGCGACATTATGCACCCTATTAAGGCAATTACACTGCAGTGACCATGCAACCGTGGACTAAACTACTAGGAATCCTAAGCTAGATTAAGCAATTAAATGCGGCGACCAATCGCCGCGACGCACTAACCCTAGGAGAGCTTCCAAGTTGCCAGAGCATTACGGCTGTATAGCATATAAGAACGCACGCTACGCGGGCTTAATAAGTGCGACGGTTCACTGCTTTATTGATTACGACCGGTTCGCAAAGTAATTACAAAGTAGCGGACCAAGTTATTAACGCGCTAGCGCTTGTAAATAGCAAAAAAAAAAAAAAAAGGAAAAATAAAAGGAAGCAGACGACAGATTCGAGTCTGCGGCCGTGCTATAACCGTTTTCTTTCCGACGTGGAAGCTCTACGAGCATGTCATTACCAAATGGTCGCCGTTGGCGGAATTCGCTGATTTATAGCGGTTTAACCGGCTTCCGAATTTGGCTCGAAAAAACTCGTTCATCTTTCTGTCTTAGTAATAAATGGGAGGAGGGAAGTTCTCCCCCGATTAAAAACCCGTTCGTCATTACCAAAATTAGGACTTTTTTTTTTCTTTTACCTTCCCGTATACCTGCGAGGGTGTGCTGAACTCTTGTCGAGATATTGTCGTCCCTGTTTTGGCGCCATTTTTCTGTGCGGTTGGCAACACTGAGCGACCAAGGTCGGGAACGGTGCATTTCAAGGTTGAACGGTCCCCGGAGTCATCGACCCAGAGCCAGACGTGTGCTGGAACACGTCTCCGAACGGTGTTTTTAGCGTCCTTTTTACCCCCCATGTATACCACTGCTTTGACACCGCAATGATCGCGGCACACACACACACACACACACAAACACTTCTGTGACTTCATTAGCCAGAAATCGAGGGACCACTTTTTAGGACGTGCGGTAAACACACGCAGAACCGTCATCCTCACGGACCACGTAGCTCCGGGATTTTGCCCTAACCACGTGGTGTGTGAGTACGGGAGGACTGGACATGGACGGCATGCCATGCCTGGAACGCGTCTCCCTCCGATCGGTGTGTTTGCGGCATCGTCAAAAGTGGTCCCTCGGTTTCCACTTGATGAGGTCATAGAAGCAGCGGTAGTGGATGAGGCAGACGCCATGTTCTGCTGCAAGGTCGCTCTCTCCAGCTCGACAGTCCACGCGGAAGCTTCGAGGCAGCCTGCAGGATTCGGGACGTCTCAACGGCAGCGATACTCGCGTCTGCTCATGCTTTATGCCGGGACTTGTCTGACCAACCACCAGTATCGCGACAACCGACAGCATGGCGTAGATGACCATGATTAAAGAGAGGATGGAACTAACTGAAGCAATGGGGAGCGTTTCGAACTTAATGGCGGAAGCCTCCGGCGCCGATTGATCGCCATCGCGCATGCGCCACGTCGTCGGGTGCAAGGAGGAAAGCAGGCGGAAAGGCTGAGAGGTTTGCAGACGATCAACGCTTCAGTCACCTCCTCGCAGCTCGTCTTGAAAATGCGGTCCGTCAATCATGTGACTTCGATCTGTCTGAAATGTAGACCCTCTAGCATGGCACGCCGATTCCTGTCACGTGATTTGTTGTCACTTCGGGACAGCTGTTGATGCACGGGCGGCAAAGGACGCTAAGCACATAGTGTTTCAGGAATAGTAGGTTGATCACGGTTGAGTATGCGAACAGCAGCAGACAACCTCCAAGATGCCAGCCGGCTCCGCAACCAAGTATACCCGGCTATTGGCGACGTGAGCGATCGAAAGCGTCGTTGTCATCGGTTTTCCACGATAGGCCGAATGCTGACTATGACGTCAGCAAAGGATTTCCCATCGACGGAAATAAGAGGAATGGAAGAACTTCAATTTTGACGGTGTTGGCAGTTTTGGTTTGAGAGTGCTATGACTTCAAGCTTCCACCATGCTCTTGCAAACACCTCCAAACTTGTTGTTCACAAGATGACGTCACGAAAGGTAACCATAGGAAGGCGCCACCAAAACATTTCGCCGCCGATACCGCGTGGCCACGTTCGGGCTTTCTTGCAGAGACGATAGCGCAACAAGTTTTATGTATCTTATGAACATGCGCCGACAAGAACAGGAACGATGAAGGAGAGATCATATACAGAACGTCGCAGTGACTTCGCTAAAACCAGACACGATTATGGAACAAAGACAACGTCCAGCATACATCGTAAACTTTAGAAACTCGACTGCGCGAACAATGCGAACATTATCCAGAGGGCTTGGTCTGGTGGTGACGGACAGAGATACCATGACGGATGTTTGTTCTAACCCAGGTCGCATTTCTTGGCTGTTCACGCTCACGCTGCGAGCGGGTTTTCCCGAATGACGAATCGCGGCTAAGCTAGCACTTTGATACCCCACTCCCACTATAAGTGACCAACGGAAAACAACCGACACGGACAAATCTCAGGCCCGTGCAGCATACAGAAGAAACTACATACCCTTTGGCCGGCTTACAATCTCTAGATGTTCGTAAAGTATCTAGCAAGAGTGATTTCAAGCTTGCCAAAGATACTTTTCGCGCGCATGCTGCACGTGCTTGAGGTTTGTCGGTTGTCACTATTTGTCACTCCAGTGGGACTAGGCGAAACCACCCGAAAAACTACCCCCCCCCCCCCCCCCCCCCCCCCCGAACGTTCACCACTAGCGGATGAGCAGAGATCCGAGCAGAGCAACGTCTTGCGACGAGCGGGACGCTAGCACACGCTTTGCGGCGACTTTATCCGAGCTTCAGCCATTGCCTCTAGGGGTGGGTCGGGAATCCATCCTCGCTGTTTTCTTTTCAATAAATGCTTATTCTCTCTCTCTCTCGGGGATCTGCTAAAAACGCTGGCTGGCGCAAGCCGCCGCCCGATTCAAAGGGTTCAGCCTCATTCATCCATCCACCCATACGACGATGACGTGATCAGCAGGCCTTGCCTTCACGGATGCATTGAACTAGGGCGTGACGCTGCAGCTACACGTCGAGGAAAGGTTGGCGCTTGGGGGATGAGCATTC